CTCATAACACTGTATCTGAGCAAAGCACCACAGATAAACTCTTCATGGAAAAAGGGCTTGGCTAATGGGACCTGTTCCTTTGATAATCAGCCTATCGTGAATTTTGACTTTTGAGGAATTTAAACTCTAGGTTAATAATCAGGAGATCATTCCTGACAGTCATCTTTGTATCTCACCTGTCTCTTTCCCCTCTCCCCAACTAGTATTTTAGGGATCATCTCTCTGGCCCTGTCGCTCTATTTGGCTTTTATTCCATGTGACTCTGGGCCTGTTAGGTTGGTGCCAAAAGCCCACTGATCCTCCTTTCCTCCCAGGTATCTCAAAATAATCAGACTTTTTAGTCTTTTTTTAAGGCAGTTCTTCGAAGACCTCCCTAACTTCTCCATGTTCTAAGCTCTAGACATTCCCTTCTCTTCCTTGAAAGCTTCCCTTTGTCCACTATTCTGTATGTCCTTTAAGGGCTCTCTATTTGTGTCTTTCTTGAAACTACAAATTCCTCAAGGACAAGTATTTGCCTAGTTACTTTTTTTAGGCAATTGGGGTCAAGTAACTTGCTCAGGATCACACAGCTAGTAGGTGTTAAGTGTTTGGTCTGAGGCTGGATTTGAACTCAGATCCTCCTGACTTCAGGGCTGGTGCTCTATCCACTGGGCGACCTAGATGCCCCCCTCTAGTTACTTTTAGAAGTATCATCTTGTCCTTTCTGGTACCATAACTACCAGTTGCCTGAAAACTTGGTTCTGAAGCTCAAAACCACCACTGAAGAAACAAAATTTTTTTTCAGTTTTGAATATTTACTTCCACAAGATTTTGAGTTCCAAATTTTCACCCCATCTCATCCCTCCCCCCCAACCCAAGATGGCGTGCATTCTGAATATTCCTTCCCCTAGTCTGCCCTCTCTTCTCTCTCTTCCCCCCTTCTCTTATCCCCTTCCCCTTCTATTTTCCTGTAAGGCAGGACAGACTTCTGTACCCCATTTCCTGTATTTCTTATTTCCCAGTAGCATGTGAAAACATTTTTTTAAACATATGTTTTTAAAACTTTAGGTTTCAAATCTTCTCCCTTCCTCCCTCCCCACCCACCCTCATTGAAAAGGCAAGCAACTCAATATAGGTTATACATGTGCAGTTAAGAAACAAAATATTTAAAGGGAAACACACTTAAAAGTAAGATAAGCCAAGATGGCTCCTGATATAAGATGACTACTTTCACACACTGTTCAGATAGTCTGGAATCTAAGTAAGGTCTTATATCCTGGGCAAACTGAGAAAAAGGTAGACTCTGGTAGGGGTAGCCATGCTTGCTAACCCAGCGTTCTCAGATTGCCAGGACTATCTTCTTGACTTTCACAACCTATAGCCAGTTCTCTGGGCTCTTTTGGGCTCCACTCTCCAAGTTTTACTCTTCCTTAACCCATCTCCTCCTAAAGCTAAAGTCTCTCTGCATCCCTCATATGGCTGAGTATTGTTAACTCCAGTTGATTACTCTATGTGCACCATCTCACTAAATTTCTGGAAAGAGAGAGCCTTAGACACCTAGCATTTGCCAGAGTTGATATTTACATAGCATCTTAAAGACTTGGGAAGCCCTTCCTCATTCTTTTCTGAAGATAAACCTAGGGAGATAGGAGGGGAAAATACTAGGTGTGTTATTTCCTGACTCCAAGTTTAGCACTTTCTACCACCCCACAGCTGAGCAGCCATGGAGGAATGGTGCTAACCAAAGGGGAGATGTCCTCTACCAAGGGAAGAGAAGGATCTTAAACACGAACAGAACTGGCACCAGAGAACCTTTGAGTATCTTTGATTAACCCTAGCCAAATAAGAGGACATAATTTTTATCCTGACACATAATTTATGCTCCTTATGTTGTACAGGAGCCAGCCACCCAGGCTAGACTGGAAGTGTGACTTATTCACAAACTTATCTTCTGATGCAAAGTTGATACTTAATAATGTACTCCACTGTATTAATTAGTGCATATTGCAAAAGAGTGGCCTGTCTCACATAAGCAGTTAGGAGAGTTTCCAAGGGGCTTGCATCCTCTGACCCCTCATCTGTCAGACCTTACCTCCATTTTGAAATCAGCCACATGATGCTTCTCAGGGTACTGACTAATTAGGTGGCATTTCCATACTTTCTGGTTTGGGCTGATGGCAGCTCTCTGGCCTGAGTCTTGTTGTTTTTTAAGTTCCAAGCTGTCTTCCTCCCTTCTTCCCCACCCTGAACTAGAAGCCACCATTAGACACAGATATACATACACACACACACACACACACACACACACACACACACACACACACCCCACCATGCTAGGCATACTTCTATTTATCAGTTATTTCTCTGTCTCTTTAACCTGGAAATGTTCAATTAGAAAGGTACAACAAAAGATACCTTCTATAACAATTACGTAGATTAATTCAAGCTTCCAGACCCAGGAACAAGAATAAGGAAAAATGATATGCTTAAGAAAGGATCTTGCTGGATAATGGACCCCAGCTCTGGCTCTCAGATTCTTGATCAGATCAGGTAGGAACTTGATCACACACTTATTTTTGCTAATTTGAGAGGGGGCACAAAGGGGAAGGGCACATATAAACAGACAACATATTAACGAGTTCTTAAGGATAAGGAGAAAATGTTAGAGAAAACCAAAGTAACTCATTCCCTAGTCTTCAAAAATGCATGCCCTTTGGGTTTAAATATCTTTTATTGTTTTTTCCTTTCCAAAAATATGGAAAAAACACACCATGTACACATATTATGTGAATAATCCATCTAGAAAAAAGGTATATGAAGTGCAAAGGGTATCAATTAGGAGCTTAATTTCTGTATTTACAGGGTGATATGGAGAAGTTTAAAAGATACTACAAAATATACAAATGTTCTTACTTATGTTGGCTATATATATATATATATATATATATATATATATATATATATATCACACACACATATATATTTCACAGTTACACACTTCCTTGTTTTCAAGGGTGAGCAATATAAAGCCAGAATCATACAGGTTGTTTACTATATAGGTTATGATAAAGCTGTATACTTCAGTGACTACACATACAGACTATACTGGTAACTGTCTAGAAAGAGTTATATACATAGTAGAAGGCAAGGCTCTGTATGACTCCAAATGGGGTGACCTGGGAGTTGGGAAATGGGCTAGTTGTTCTTCTTCCTCATCTTACATTCCCCTTTCCTACACACTCTTTGGAACTTGTTGCTAGAGCCCAGTTAAGCAGGATGAGGTGGGAGTATTACAGAGGGTGTTTTAGAGGGAAGAAATGTATGTATCTGGTAGAAAGGCAAATGAAGATTGTACTGTCTTAGAAGAAGGGCCCATGAAAGGCAAAGAGAGGGCATTTGAGCTGCTAGAAGGTACAGGCTCCCTGACCCCACCCACGTGCACATACACATAACATATATCAAAAGGGGCTCTGGGACTGAGGGTGACTGGTCAATTCAACCTTCTGGATTAGCCTCAGCTCAAGCCTTTCCAGTCACATGCTCACCAATTGCCTTTTTAAGAAGCAGGAGTTTAAGGGCCAAAGAGGACAGGAGATGGAAATGGGTAAACCTCATTCCTGGCAAATGAAAGACAATTTGGAAAGAGGTTCCAGATTAGTCTTTAACAGGTTATATCTTAAAACGAGGTGCTTTTTGGTCTAGCCAGACCATCACCCTTTGAGGATATAGAAAAGGTAAATGGTCTGTCTGAGGAGGGTCATGCTTTTGAAATCCACATTTTGCCTAGGGCATGGCCACCTGCCACTCCACCTCCTCTCAATGGGTCTGGGAGGTTTTCCTTTCTGTGAAAGGGACAGAGATGCGAGGACCCAGAAAGAAGAAGGGCTGACAGCAAGATCATTCACCTCAGAATCCTTCAACCCCACCTCCTTAAAAGGCTAATCCACTGGCTAATCCCTCTGGATCAGGCCAGACACAGTTCTCAAGGCACCATCCAAGGTGGGGAAGGACCACTGAAAATGGTCCTCTGATCCTGCAGTCAGCTCAGTTTATTCTGTTCCCCCTCCATCTGAGGGCAAAACAAACTTCATGACATGACTCACAAACCACTCATCAGGGCTGGCAGAAGAAAACGCTTAGTCCACAAAATATCAAGGCCAATTCCCACAGAGTTTGAGAAGCTGGGCAATTGCCCAATATGGACAGAGGAACTGATCTTTCCTAACCATAGAAAGTCTGTCATAACCTGCCCAACCTCCTCATGACATCTGAGGCACTTAGATTATCAGAGAGGGACCAGTTCTTAGCACTGACCTTTATGAAGCTGGCTTTCTGGAGTATCCCCGATTGAAAATGACTCATGGCAGAAGTCTCAGCTGCTGACCAATTAGCAACTAAAGTGCTAACTGCCCTGGGAACATGCCCGCCTTTGCATCCCTCCAATAATAAGAAATGCAAAAGCACATCTGCAACCTTTTTTGCTTCTTAATTAAATTACTATCCTTCAGAAACATGGTTTGTTCTAGAAATTGCCTGGCTCTGGCTGGGTTATAGTCTGCCCAAGAGAAACTGTGGAGAAAGTAAGGGGGGAAGATCAGGAAAGAGGGGGCATGAGCATATACAGTAATTCTACCTCCCTAGAATTCATCTTTGGTATTGGGCATCATGGTTGTCAGCCTGTGGAGGCAGCCCAAGCCTACCTGACTAACCAGTGCATGCTGCTGACCACCAGCAGTTTCTCCTGGGCATGGGAAGGGTGTCCTCCTAGTTTGCTGTAGATAAAACATAGTCCTTAACCTTCCCCTTCCTGCAAGTCTCCTTATAGCAGAGAATGGTTGGACATGTGGCTTACTAAGACCAGGCTGGGTGGTATATGTCACTGGCTGGCATCTTCTCACCTAGCCTGCCCTGCCGCCAAGCTTTGTGGGGCCAGGGAAGTACTGATTTCCCATTTACAGTCAGGTCTTTCCTAGGAAGAGCCATGTGCCTTAGCAACCAAACTCATACTTACTTAAAAATAAAAGTATAACTGTACATTTGAGCAATGGAATTCTTTCCACAGGCTTTTTCCTTCTGAAAATTGTTTCGGGCTTTAAAACATGTCCTGTTGGTCAGGGGCTCTAGTGTTTCTGGAGAGAGTAAATAACTGACCTAGTCAGGATTCACTTGCAAAAATCCTATGGTTCTTGTCCCAGGCCTTTCAGTGAGCCAGAAATCATGTAAGAAAGAATTGTGGCCCTTATAAGGATTGTGCTTTAATCACTGTTTCTGCTAATACTGAGTCAGCCCTACCTGCCAATGCTTTGGGTTCTAGGATGAAAGGTAGGAATACCAAATGTCTGTGACTCCATTTTTCCAGTGGATAGATAGCTAACCATCTGCCCCTACCTTGCCCACGCTTCAAGGGAGAATGGGCATGTAGAACAAGAAATAATCCATCTTTTCTTTCCCCCTCTCATTTACTGTCCCACTATAAGGCTATGCTGCTATGAGAGATCTTCATTTCTTCGATTTTCTCTTGTGTTTGGGCTGAAGTCTGGGAGTTGTCAGTCACGACTTCAGTGTTTTCAGACTGCTCAGGGACATTGTCAGGGACTTCCTTGACCTTTTCCTCATCTCTCTTCAGTTGCCAGCTCTCACAAAAGCACCATTTCCAGGGCAAGAGCACCACCCTGCAACAAATGCCTACATAGTAGCAGCAACCATCCCAGCAGGATTTGTCCATGAAACGAGTCACCAGGTCATCCCAGGGCTCTAGGGAGCGCATCCACAGGGGCAGTATGTGGTGAACCTCAAAGGCCCACAATGACATTATTATGAAAATCACCAAGATCATGGGTACTCCTACGCCCAACAACACAGCCCAACCTGCCAGCGAGAGGCCAAACACGGCTAGTGGCATCAGGAAAAAGCAGGAGACCAGGTAGAAGATGGCAAACCAACGGTAGGTGGCTGTGATATATCCTAGGCTCCTGGCAAGACGGATCGGCAGGCGTGTGAATGGCACTGGGTACCACAGAAGCACCCCGGATATGTTGAAGAGGAAATGGCACAGGGCAATCTGAAATCAAAAGGATTAGATAAGATAAAAACTCATCTAGCACACACATGGAATCAGGGAAAGGGAAGGGAAATCAGTAGACAAGTGGTGATGAGAAGGAAAGGGAAAGGTCAGTGGTGTCACAGAAACTATCATCACAAACATTTTCATCACGGGTTCTTAAATTTAAGGGCCAGGAACACCAGAGCATCTAGTCCAGTCCATTCAGTTTTGCAAGAATATAGAGCAGCAGGAGATGGCTGGATGTTATGTTAGGTGTGACCTAGAGAGCACTGGACCTGAAGTCAGGAAGACTTGGGCTAGAAGCTTCACTTTGCTCATCTGAGAACACAGCAATAGAGCTCTCTATTCACTGAGTTATGTGAACATCAAATGAGATCATTATGTAAAGTGCTTTGGAAACTTAAATGTATTGACAAATAAGAGAACCCATATTATGATGTCATAAAAAGAACAATGCATGTGAGAGTGTGAAGACCTAGCTACAATTTAAGTCAACAAGTATTTATTAAGTGCCTCCTATCTGCAAAGCACTGTGCTAGGTGCTGGGGACACAGAAAGGAAAAGTACCTGCCGCCAATAAGCTTATGTTCTGCTCTTCTGAATTTCAGTTCTGCCACTTATTTCCTGCATGGCCTTGACCTTCAGCAGAACATTTTTCTTATCTACAAAAGGATGAATAGATGATCTCAAAGATCCCTTCTAACTCTTAAATCCTATGAAAATGGGCCTCTTTGCAAATGGGCATGCAGGAAGGAACTAAATGCAATGAAGACCTTGAGTCCTGGCTTATAAACAAAACTAAGTTGATAATTTAGGCCACTTTTGCTGAGTTCCAAAACAGTGGTTTCAAAAACAATTTACTTAATTAAAAACATTGTTCCAAATGGAATTAAGTACCAGTCAGCTAAACAGCAATGAAATTAATAAAAAAAAAAAAGAAATTATTGCATTCCAGAACTAGTGAGATTTTTATTATAATTCTTTTCAAAATCAGTTTTGGAATTCATTGTCTTATAACATTAATTGCATTGTCTTATCATGCTTTAATCAAGCTCTATTCCTCACCATGGCACCCACACTCCTTTGTCACCTTTCTTATATCCAGGCGTTGCCTGGCCTGCATACACAGCAGCAGGTTCAATTGGCCTCCTTTGTTAGAGAGGGGAGAGGAGAAGAGGAGAAGACAGGCGCTTAGGGAGGCAATATTCACACTGGAGAATGTTAAGGGCACCACCATCCTGTCCTTGTCTAGGATGCAAATCTCAACCTTGACCCCTCCCTCTCTCTTGCCTCCCAAGGGATGACTCTCTAAGTCTTTCTGCAGTATCTCTTGTATTCATCCCCTCCTTTCCATTTCTGATGACACCATCAGATCTTCATTTTGTGACCTGGGCTTTGTACTATGGTGGAAAATAATGCTGCTTTTCAAGTACTATTTCCTCATCTATAAAATAAGGGGGAATTGGACTGAATGATTTCTGAAAGTCCTTCCGTCTCTAGGCCTATTGCAAAAGCCTCCTCCTGGCTGGTCTGTTCATCACACACACACATTTCCCAAATCAAAATTCTGATGACACCTACCCTTAAATCCAATACCTCTTGCCTTCCCGATGTTTGAAGAACAAAAACCAAAATCCTTGGTTCAGCTTTCAAGGCCCTCTAGAACTTGATCCTCATCTGCCTTTTTCAGCATTACCTCCTCCTGCTATGGTGTCTATAACAGTCCTATTATCATCATTAATGTTAGTTCTGCCCCTGCGACCATTATCATCCATTCCAGTGAAACTGGTTCTTCAAAGATGCTTGTTCATTCGACATATCCCGGGACCTCGGTTCACATCCTTCTCCCTCTCATACTTTTCCTCCTGCTCTCTGCCCAAACAGCATCCTTCAAGGAAGAGGCTTCTCTTCCCCCATGACACCAACAGTCACCTCTCCCTCCTCTAAACACAAAACATGGATCTATACCACTCACCTAACAAGTAACAGAGTTGGGATTCAAACTCAGGTCTTCTGACATCAAAGTCAGAAGTTCTTCCTACCAACCACCTTTTCTGAATGATAGAAGGGCAAAAAGGAGGATATAATCTATACCTTTTTCAATCATTTTATGTAGGGGACAGGGGATAAGGTAAGAGGTGGGGAGTAACTGTTCACCATCCTAATTTGTTTATTATAGACACAAGCTGGAGGTATCTGGTCATTATGTAAGAAGTTCAGCTTCTGAGAACAATAGCTAGGGACAGTTTTCTAACCCACAGGTCACCATTCTGAGGCAGATAAGATCTCAAGAGTAATAAATGTCCCCTTGTGATATGAAGCATCTGATAAGAAAGAAACCAAGGTGTTCATTTGAAGGATTTAGTAATAAGCTAAGAATAGAGAACTTAATGGGAAGAGGTAATGAGTCACAATTTGTGCATCCTGACCTGGACTGAATATTGTAAAGTATTTCCAGGGCTAGCTAATGCAGCCAGGATGGCAGTGGTGGTGGTACCAATGTTGGAGCCCAAGGTTAAAGGGTAAGCTCTCTCAAGGCTGATCACACCAATGCCTAAGGGAACAAAAGAGACATTGGATTCAGTCCTGGGTGGGAATGATTGAGCATGGCAGGACCACATGTAAAAATGGAGACATGGGCATGTGAAAAGGGAAGGGGGAGGAAGAGAGGACTTACCAACCAGAGGAGTGATTGTAGAGGTGAACACAGAGCTACTCTGCACAAGAAATGTAATCCCAGCTCCAACTAGAATGGCAAGGTAGCCTGTCAGCCAGGCAAAATGGGAGGGGAAATCTGGGAAACAGGAGAAGAAAAAGGCACCATTTCTACAATTGTCTTGGCCAACAGGACAATTTAATATCTGATGCGATAGACCACTCCAAGATCCATTCAGAAATAGTCATTTTACTAAAAACATATTCCAAATCGTCTAGCAGAAACAGTTTCTAAGGCAATTAAAAGCAGCCAGCAAGAGGTTCCCAGGGAGGAGGTGCAGAGATAGGGGGTGGTCTATCAGTGGCTCTCAGCCAATGTCCTAAAAACTACTTTCATTTTACTTTTCTTTACACAAATGACAATGTTTGTAAGAAGCACTTAACACAGTGCCTAGCACATAGTAGGTTTAATATAAATACTCATCCCCATCCCCCATGGTTTCCACACCTGTTTCCTTGAGCAACTCGAAGTGCCCCAAGTCTGCATCTCAACTTACTTGCTTGGAACAGTTCAGGTGGGAGTAGGGGGTTTGAGTAACTCACTCTCTCTAAGTTCCATCAGTATCTTAATTCACAGCAGCCCAGCTAGGGAAGGGGTGAGATCAGGGGCAGTAGAAGATGAAGTGAAGCTGAGGCCTAAAAGGGTTTATTGAGAAATATCCCAGGTTTCCCCAAGACGTTACATGTGGAAAATAGCAACCCCCTAAAAAGAAAAAAGAATCAATAGGAATTGCTAGAGGTTGTTAATTCTCTACTTGGTGGGGTTGGGGCAGGGAGGAGAGAGAATTAAGCATCTATTAAGTGCCTGCCATATGCCAGACACTGTGCTATACACTTTGCACACATCTTATTTGGTCCTCATAACAACCTTGGGAGGTAGAAAAGTGAGCAAACAGGGAGCTTAAGCGACCCGCCTAGGGCCACACAGTTAGTAAGTGTCTGAGGCCAGATTTGAACTCATATATTCCTGACTCCCAGCCCAGCATTCTAAGCACTGTGGCATCTTGTATGCTCAGCCTATATACCCTCTTCTTCCCTAATAATAATTTTTATAATTTTTATATTTTAATAACTTTTATTATTTTATAGTGACCATCAAAGCCATGCTCTGCCCACTACTTTACTATGATCTTCCTCCCTCTTCCTCCAACATTCTTGTTTCTGTGGCTGTGTATGAGGCAGCAGGGATATGTAGCAACTTGGCACTATCTTTCCTAGTCAACTAATGATGACAGTCAAATTTCTAGATCTCTTTATTATTTACAGTGCCCTTATCAGGAACAGTACATGTATAATTTTTTTAACATATTCTCTTTTTTTTTTGTTAGAAGATCATGGGCTCTTCAAATTTAGAGATGGAAGAGACTTTATATCACCTTGTCCATCTCCCTTCATTTATGCAGGGAGACCAGAGATCTTCATTTACTGGCCCAAAGACACATAGCAGTGGCAGCATTTGAATCCAGGGCCTTTGACTCCAGATCTAATGCTCTTATTTTTCTATTGCATCACAAGACCCATGTGGGTTCATTAACTTGTACAAGTTTACATAGCTAGTAAGTGTCTGCCCAAGAAGGATGGACTTGGGCATCAGAAAGACCTTGGTCAAATCTCACCTTGGGTATTGTAACCCTGGACAGATCATTTAGCATCTTTCAAATAGAGATAATGATACCCATGTGGCTGCCTCACAGCGCTGGCATGAAGATTGAATGCATTGATGTCTGTAAGGGATCTGCAAACTTTAGAGCTCTATAGAGTTTACTAGGCAATGGGGAAAGGGACCTTCCTGTGATTTCTTTGGTATAGAGAGTGTTCCAGTGAGCCAACTCTCTCAATGCAAGCTGGTAGATTCTCTGTAACATAGTCCTAAAGGGTTGCCTAGAACTCTTAAGAGGTTAAGTGACTTGGTCACACAACCAGTATGTGTCAAAAGTGAGATTTGAACTCAGATTTTCCCGGCTTCTAGGTCAGCTCTCTATGCACTATATCATGCTGCCTCTCTTATTATCATTATCATTACTATTCTTAGTCTACCAAGGGGAATGGTCCCACTAAGGTCTTGTGAAGAATCTCTGTGTGGGAAATATGGTAAAAGCTAACTCATATTTCCCTAGATCTCTCTGTACAGCTAAACCAGACCCTCCAGGCCTATTCTTTCTTATACAGGACACAATATCAGAGCAATGAGCCCTCTGTTGGGCTCAGGAACATTCCCGGGACAAGAATACCAATTCAAAATAAAGGAGACAACATGCATTTCCAGGATTGTCAATCAGAAGTAGAAAATCCCAGCAGAGGCCTGGGTCATCTAGAGTTCTTGCTTCCAGGTAGGTGAGGACAGATGTGGACCTCAGTGAGCACAATAGGAAGAGAGCTAGCCAGTGTCTTTTTTTTCCACAAGGACTCCACCCACAGAAAGTCTCAGGGAGAGTGAAATGCCTACCTGTGTTGATGGTCTTCTTAATCACAGCAGCAACTTGTCCCTTGAGCACAGAGGTCAGGACCTTGACAATCAAGATCAAACATGTGCACAGGACCAGCAAGGAGAGGGGTAGAAGGATGAGTCCAATGCTTGAATCTGAGAGTTTGACATCCACAAATAAGTGTTTGCCTGGAGGAACCAGAGGAACCACTTATCAAGAGGATTCATGGCTAATAAGGCCTAGCAAACCAGAAGGTTTCTTTGGTGCTGACATAGTCTTTTCTAGGGCTCTACTGTGTTTCTCTTTCTAAAAATTTCATTGTAGTCCAATCATCTTTCTCTTCCTCCTTCTCATCTGATCTGGGTACATGGTCTTCTACAAAACATCATGCCTTTTCTAAAATGATTCTAATTCAGAAAAAGATTATAGATTCAGGAGAAATCTTGCAAAAGGAATTTAAGTTAAATCCAAACAACATTTAACCCTAGGACTCTGCTTTAGAGTAAAAGTTGCCAACCTTTTTATAAGAAGCTGATTTTTTAGTCCTTAAAAGCCTTGAAATGTGAGGGCTTGGGGGTCAACTAACAGTTAAGTCCCTGCCCACCCAATATAACATAGTGGAAAGACCATTGGATTTAAGGCTAGAAGTCCTGAGTTTGAATCTTGATTCTGCTCTCTGCTGTGATCTCTGTGACAGTGGGCAGCTTCCTCCACCTGTCTGGGTGTCTGGTCTCCTGCTTCATGAAATGAGAGTGTTGGACTAAATGACCTCAAGGAATCCTATCCGCTCTAACATTCTGTGATCTTTGCACCAGAGATGGCATTTCCCCCTTCGCAAGAATGGATTTGCCTGAGTTTGTATTAGTTACTTGCCAGTTCACTTTAATTGTACAGGAAATATAATAAAGTGCTTTGTATACTGAGAATGCTATGTAATATATTAATACTAACAATTGTCAACTTTTAGTCACCACTCCAAAGAACTTGAGCAGTAACTTGTTAAAAGAGATAGGAGAAGACATGTGTGTTGTGTGTTCTCTATACAGTGTACAAAGGAACTCAATAATGCAGCCAAAGCTTTGGGTATTTAAGAGTTACAATGAAAAGGGGAAGCCATATGGGAGGAGAGAAGGGCAATCCCCTCCGAAATGGGAGATGATGTGGGAGGAGAAAGGGGCCAGCAAAAGGAGGGGGAACAAGAGGGAGGAGGAGGGGCACCAGCCCCCCATTCCTCCTTTGGGAACTGCTGGACCATGGAGGTAGGATGTCCTTGCTTATCAAAAAGGTTCCAGCTGCACACAGGTTACCAGTCTAGTGCAGACTGTCTGGCACCTGTCTTGTAGCTGACTCAGCTTCAAGGGCACACTGAGAGTTCTGTTAGGGTTGAGAGTTGCAAATTATGTCAGTCTATTGTGTGTGGGGTTGGGGCGGGGGGGAGGTGGTGTTCATTATTGGCTTGATCAGGCTCTCCTCTATATTCCAGATCCAGTGTTTCTGGGAAATATGGCTATTAAGTTAGCTTCAGAGCGACATTGACACAATAGTAGCTAACATTGATATGGTGCTTTAAGATCTACAAAGTGCAGAAGTACCCTTGACTTCCAGGAATCAAGATAGCAAAATAACATAGGAAATTGCCTGAACTCTTCCAAATTCTCCTCCAAACAACTATAAAACAACACCTCAAAATGAATTCTGGAATTGTAGAACCAACAAAAAGATGGCATGAAACAATTTTCCAGCCCAAGACAACTTAGAAGGTCGGGAGGAAAACTCTGTCTCATTCAGGTAAAAGAGGAGTACAGTCTAGCAACCAGAAGAGAGTGCTGAGCCCCAGCACAGATCAGTGACAGATGAGTGGCCAGAGCCCCATCTCCTGCCCCCTGTGGACCCTGGCACAGCACCAGGTGGCCAGGCCCCCTGCAACCCCAGTGCAGCATGAGGCAAGCAACCAGAGACTGCAGTCCCTGGTATAAGAAATCTGGGACAGTAACCCATCCACCTGAGGAGCACAGCCCAACTTTAAAAGTAATGAAATAGGCTAGGGGAAAGTAAGCAAAAAACAAAATAATGAAGCTGACCATAGAAAATTATTATAGCGATAGGGAAAATCAAAACCCAAACTCAGAAGAAGGCAACAATGTCAAAACGCCTACAAGCAAAACATCAGAGAAAAATGTGAATTTGTCTTAGGCCCAAAAAGAACTGGAAGGGATAAAAAAGGATTTTAAAAATCAAAGAAGAGAGATAAAAGAAAAATTGGGAAAAGAAATGAGAGTGCTGCAAGAAAGTCATGAAAAAAAGAGTCCGTACCTTCCCCCTTGCTCCTGTCTCACTGCTTGGTCTGGCCTCTTAACTCCTCTGCCATGGCCACCCTCAGTGTCAGACCCAAAGCCCAAGCCACAGTAGATTTTTTCAGAAAGGAGTTATGTGCTCAGGCAGAGATTCTACTCGTAACCTATTTCCACACAAAGATTTCAGAGCTGTGTGAGTTCTTGAAGGACCCATCTCTGAATGAGGCTGAGTTGGGTCTCCTAAAGGCCCCTCTGGACATCCCAGTCCCTGACACAGCCAAAGAAAAAGAGAAGGAACAGCATCAGAAACAAAAAGAGAAGGATAGTAAGGATGGAAAGAAAAAAGAGGAAGATGAAGATAAAGGTTCTCCTTGTGGGCCTGTAAGCTGCAATGAGAAGATTGTGGCCCTTCTTGGGCAGTTGAAGCCTGAGATCAAAGATGTGAAAGAACAGCTCAACCTGGTTTCCATGAGGCTGCAGCTACAGGTGCCCTGAATTGATGGAAACAACTTTGGAGTAGGTGTCCAGGAGAAGGTATTTGAGCTGATGACCACACTTAGAACTAAGCTGGACGGCTTCCACATCCAGATCTCAAAGTGCTTCTCTGAAAGGGGTGATGCAGTGGCTAAAGCAGCAAAGCAACCATACGTGGGCGACCGCCGACAGCTGGTTCATGAATTAGATGAAGCACAGTACGGAGAGACCAGACTGATGGTCATGGAGATCCAAAATACTTATGTTGTATTATATGATATCTCCAGAAGAACTATGAGAAGATAGGCCAGGGGAGACACAAAAGGAATGATCTATTGAAAAAATGGAGCCTGCCTCCTTTCTCCATCACCCCTTAACTAGGATTATCTGTCTTGCCACAGTCTAGCTTCCATTTAGAACTTCCCATCTTATCCATACTTTGGCTTCTAGGCACCAATAAATTTTGTCTCACCAAAAAAATGAAAAAGTCAACAGCTTGATAACAGAAGCACAAAAAATAGAAAAAAATTGTACAAAAATTTAACGAAGAAAACAACTCCTTAAAAAGTATAATTGGCCAAGTTGAAAAGTAGGTACAAAAACTAAGAAAATAACTCCTTAAAAATTAGAATTGGACAAGTGGAAACTAATGATTTAATGAGACATCAAAAATCAATCAAACAGAATCAAAAGAATGAAAAAATAGAAGAAAATGTGAAATATCTCATTAGAAAAAAACAAGTGATCTGGAAAATATAGATCTAGGAGAGCTAATTTAAAAATTATTGGACTCCCTAAAAGCCATGATCAAAAAGGAAAAGGGAAAAGGACCCACATGAACAAAAATATTTATAGCAGCTCTTTTTATGGTAGCTAAGAATTGGAAACGTAGGGATGCCCATCAATTAGGGAATGGCTAAACAAATTGTGGCATGTGAATGTAAAGGAATACTATTGTGCTATAAGAAATGATGAGTAGGAGAACTTCAGAAAAACCTGGAAAGACTTACAGGAACTGATGTAAAATGAAGTGAGCAGAACCAGGAGAATATTACGCATGGTAAAAGCAATATTATATGATGATCGGTTATGATTGACTTAGCTCTTCTCAGCAATACAATGATCCAAGACAATTCCAAAGGACTCATGATGAAAAATGCTATCCATATCCAGAGAAAGAACAGATGGAGTCTGAATACAGATCAAAACATTTTTTGTTGGTTTTTTTCTTGTGCTCTGTGTTTTCTTTTACAATATGACTAATGTGGAAATGTTTTATATGACTGCATATATATAACCTATATCAAATGGCTTAGTATCTTAGGGAGGCAGGAGTGAGGGAGAGAAGGAGAAAATTTGGAACTCAAAAATTTTTTAAGTGAATGTTTAAAATTATCTTTACATGTAATAAGAAAAAAGAAAATACTATTAAAAAAATTTGCAAAGTGCTTTACAAATGTAATATCATTTGATCCTCACAATAACCCTGGGAGGTAGGTGTTATTATTATCCCCATTTTACAAATGAGGAAACTGAGGCAGACAGCAGCTATGTGACTTGTTTAGGGTCATCAGATAAGTCTTTGAGGCTGGATTTTCCCCAGGTCTTCTTGACTCTGGGTCCAGAGCACCAAACATTGCACCATTATGAGGAGCCTCAATTCCTAAATTACTCTCTAGTAGTAAACTAGACGTTTAGATAGGTGGAAGTAGATAGTTACTAATAGTTTTTTTAACCCTTGGTTCTATAGAACCAGAATTTTATTGCTGGGAAGAGATGTAAGAGGTCATTTAGTCCAGCCCACTCATTTTACAGATGAGAAGATCAAGGCCCGAGGGGAAGTAAAATGAGTTGCCCAGGGTCATATGAGTATTAGGCACCAGAGTTGGAAATTGAATTCAAGTCTTCTTTAAAATTCATTGTAATGTTGAATCTGGAATTCAAATCTAGATCTTTTTATATTTCTGCCACACACACATACACACACACACACACACACACACACACACACACACACACACACACACACGCGTGCCTCTCAGGAAGGAATCTTTTGTACACTGAGGACCAAACCTGGTCATAGTCTTTACTAAATCTCCCCAGTCTCAGTGCAATGGAGTGTTCCAAAACCAAGTGACTAAAATAGGAATACAGGAAACTGTATGGATTTTACCCTGACAACATCAAAAAGCTAATGGGACTCCCTAGAGTAGCCCCTATCCAGAGTCTAAAATAAATCCTGCAGGGACAAGCTAAAGCCCTGGGGAGAAGAAAAGCCAATAAGTGTCAAATAGTAGTAATAGCAGTGCACATCATTCAAGCTAGGCATGGTACCTGAGAGCCAATAGGGGTGCAGTGCAAAGAAGGTCCTAGGATCAACTCTGCCATTAACTCATTATGTGACCTTATGGATGTCACTTGTCTTTTATAAAATGGGGATAGTCCTATTCCACTTCAGGCAGGCAAGTTAATACTTCCAGGCAAAGGGCTATGGTGTTGAGTAAGTGAATTCTTAAGGCTCTTTGAATGTCAGGATTATTGACAATGCCCTACAAATATTTGGGGCCCATATGAACAAAGAGGGCCTGGTCCTCAGAGGCCATTGCCTAAATGACTATAGTGTATACAAGAATTCCATGTGAAAGCTGACTTTTTTCCTGCCTCCAGCATCCTATATTCCTAAGAGATGTCTGATTTGTTTTAGGCTCTAGACCAATGCTTCCCCATAACTCAGAGTCAGGTCTGGACCAATGTTACAGAGAAGGCCAGACAAATTTGCAGAGGATTTATTGAGCTCTTTGCCCTGCCTCCTGTATCACCAATACAAGAAAGCACTCATTTGCACCAGGCAAAGAAGAGCTTGGCTGATCCTTAGAGTAGGCCTAGCCACTTTCTCTTTCCCAAGGATATTGCCTTCAGTACTACTTCTACGGGCCTGCCTTATTGGCCTGGCAGTCTGTTCTCACATCAAGGACAATTTTGCTATCAGTTGCTGACAGTGGAGGAGTAAGTACAGAGTGTGAGCGGTCTGAGCTCTGCTGATGACTCTCACATCTTCCCAGGTCTCACATCACTGTATTTTCATAGGTCTTGTTTACCCAAGACTTCTTTTGCTCTGCACTTGTCTCCCTAGCAAAAACTGAGAATGAGGTTAGAAATTAGTAAAGTTGATTTTCCAGTCGATTTTCTACTCACACTTTTTAAGGTTCTTTTCATATACTATATGCATGAGGGTCCACGTCATGTTCCCATCAGTCCAGCAGAGATTCGGAGAGGTACAACTGTCTCGGGAGGGTACAGTAACATTGCTTAAAGCCTAGATGACATCACAGAGGGAAAAAGAACAAAAACCAAAACCTGCTCCTAAGAATGGTATTCCATGAAGATACAATTTACAACAATGGAGACATGAACCCCACTGGCTACTGAATCCTCACTTTCCCCCTCTTCTCCACCTCACCTTCCTCATAATCCCCAAAGAACATCTTCAGCCTTTGTGCTTGGTCTGTGGAGCATTGGCTGAACCTACAGAACATCTGGATTACTTCTGTAGGCCAGCTAAGCTCACTCAGACTGAGCACTGCTCCCCCAGAATGGGGACCTGGGCAGTCAATTGCTTTATCCCTATCTTGGAGCAGTCTTATTCTGCCCCATAGTCTGTGGTATAACTAGGGCAGGGTGACTACATCTTTGGTCTAGGGCAGTAAATTTACAGAAAACGGACAGCACTTGCTGTCCCTCAACATCATAGGAGGAGCAAGGAATTCTCAATTCCCCATCTATGTCCTTTGAATCATTTGGGGTACTTAGCATATTTTTAAAAGTTTTACACCAAATCTTTATCAGACTCTTGTTTTTTGCTGCCTCATTTCCTGTAGCAATTTCAATTATGACTTTTTTATCCAGCTGAGGAAAGCAACAGACATGAGGGAAAGGGTTAGCCCGTTCTTCAGCTATGATCTGTTACTGAAAAGTTAATTAATTACTCTCCTACGGACTCCAGTGTACAGAAGAGAAAACCACGATGTATGTAAAAGGGAGATACAAATTGGTCTCACTTCCAGAGGACTACACTTACATAGGTGACCTTGCTTCATCTTAGTATGATCAGGATCAGGCCAGATAAACCCTTTTGCCCCATTCTAGGGGGCCCAGTACACTGCCAGCTCCATGAAGCCAGTGAGGATCTTTTTTGTCTCTGTATCCCCCAGTGCCTGGTCCATGGTAGGGGTTTAATAAATTCTTATTGGTTGACTGCTATTGGAATGAGGCACCCCTTGGGAAAGAGCTTCTGCTTTGACCTGATCTGAAGGGCAATGCTATCAAGTCAATATCATTAAAAAAAAAAAAGTCATCGAGCCCAAAATGGTAGAATGGTCGGGTCTCTCCTTTGGCCAGAGCGGTAGTAAGGACAAACCTCTACCAACGTGGTGCTCAAAGCAACCCAGTGCTTGCCTCTTAGCTCCACTCACGTAGGCAATGAAATGAGAGACACAAGAATGAAAAACATCCAACTAGCACTACCAGACTGAGAGAGGAGATTTTGAATTCTCCTTACAAGGGAACCAAGTTCATCACAAATGCTATTTTACTCTCTTAATGACTCAGACGTAAAATCAGAGCAAGTCTCGATGCTCACCTGAACAATACGTTTTGTTAAGGGATGTGTCATGACTTTCAAGAGTTCAGGGGCATTTTCTCCACTCTTAATATTAAAGGAGTGTATTGTGATACTGGTGAGGTGGTAGAGGTAGTCTGTAATCACCTCCACAGGCAGCAGCACCACTACTGACAACCAGTTAAAAAAAATCGTGGACAGTAGCTCCTGCAAAAGCCCTAGAGGAAGGAGAAAACCCAAAGAAAAAGTGACAAGACAGTTAATTCAATACATAGCATTAAGTACTTACTGTGTGCAAAATCCATATGCCTAGAAAGTCAGGAAGACCAGGATTCAAGCCCACCTTAGCAATAGGACCATGAGTGAGTCACTTAGCAGCGACCCACGCCACCGCTGGAGATGCCAATCAGCATCAGCACTGAGGGTAGGGGGATGGAGGAAGGGGGGAGGAGGGTTTCCACATTAGAAGTTTCCCCACATCAGTGAAACCACAGATCCAGGTGCCCACTCCCCACCCCACCCCCCAAACTAGACAGCACTTGGGGAAAAAAGACAGCATTGTCTACACACATCGCCATAATGCCACCCCGTCTTGCACTGTTATAGAGCTTCCTGTTTCAAAGCTCTTTTGTATCTATCTAGGGATAATACTTCTGTAGGCAGACCAAATTGTTAATGTTTCCATTTCACAGACAAGGAAACCTTGGAATTTGCTCAACTAAGGTCACACAGGGAGGAGGCATTAAGAATAATGACCAAGCTTCCAGATTTCCCATTTAAGTGCTCTTCCCCACCCCACTCCCCATCCCCACTTCCTCCACTGCCCCCCACGATATGGCTATCCCAAGCAGTCATGAAGAGGAGCAGGTATGCTTATCCTATCAAGGCTTAATTGAATCAAAGACAAGATCATAGCTTTAGAACTAGGGGAGTTCTTAGTACAGACTTATACTACTTGCTCATTTTTGCATATAAGAAAACAGAACAAGAAGTGACTTTGCCCATGGTTACAAAGGTAACAATTGGTAAAAATCCGTGGCCTTTCCAACGCACCTTAGTTGACCTGCCTTTGCAGCAAAGTGGATAGAGTACTGTAACCTGGCACCAAGAAAATTGGAGTTCCAATCCAGCCTCAGACACAAACTATGTGACCCTGGGCAAGTCACCTAACCTCTGCCTGCCTAAGTTCCCTCATCTGCAAAATGGGGATAATAATAGTACCTATGTCCTAGAGTTGTTGTAAGGATAAAAAGAGACAATATTTATGAAGTATTATGTACATATTAAAGCTCTACCTATGGGCCTAAATCATAAATGCTAGCTTTAATTATATAATATTGTATAATAAATTATATCACATTGTATGGCTACGTAATATTGTGTAGCTATTATATATACAGGTGAAACTTTGGGGTGCTGGGCCTGGAGTCAGGAAGGTCTAAGTTTATTTTTTGTTTTGTTTTTGCTTTTTGGTGAGGCAATCAGGGTTAAATGACTTGCCCAGGGTCACACAGCTAGTAAATGTCAAGTGTCTGAGGCTGGATTTGAACTCAGGTCCTCCTGACTCCAAGGCCAGAGCTCTATCCACTGTGCTACCTGGCTGACCTAGGAAGGTCTAAGTTTAAACACAGCCTTAGACACTTCCTGGCTGTGTGATCATGGGTAAGTCATTTAACCTCTCTATCTGCCTCAGTTTCCTCAGCTATAAAAGACAAGGATAATAATCACACATTTTTCACAGGAATGTTGTGAAGATCAAGCAAGATAACATTTGTAAAGTGAATAAAGTGAATAGCACACTATAGCTTGGTTCATAGTAGGTGCTTAATAAGTGTCTGTTCCATTCTTTTATTATCATTTTTGGTTTACATTTTAAAGTTTAATTCAGTTTCATTTTTCAGCCAGTAATACTGTTTTAACTATTTTTTAAATTGATTTCTATTTGCATTTCCAAGGTATCTCCTGTCTCCCCTCTACCTCATGAATTGAGAAGACAAAAAAAATTTTTAACCATTATACATATGAAATAATATAAAATATTAAATTTGTCAAGTTGTGGGAAAAGAACAACAAACAAACAAGAAAAAAACAAAAGAAAAATATGCTTCAATTTGCTGTTGAAACCCTGCAGTTCTCTCTCTGGAGGTGGATTGCATTTTTCACTGTGAGTCTTTTAAAATTGTCGTGGATCACTGTATTGGCCAGGTAGTTTAGACTTTCACAGGTATTCATCATTACAATACTGTTGCTACTGTGTACAATGTTCTCCTTGTTATACTCACTTCACTTTGTGTCAATTCATATGTCTTCCCAGGTTTTTCTGAAACCATCTCCTTCCGCATTTTGTATATTCCAATAGTATTCCATCATAATCATATGCCACAACTTGTTCAGCTATTCCCCAACTGATGGGCATCCCCTTAGCATCCAATTCTTTGCCAACATAAAAAAGAGCTCCTATAGATATTTGTCTTAATAAAAAATTATAGACAAATATGTCTATAAATACAAGTCTTTTCCCTTTTTCTGTGATCTCTTTGGCATATAGATGTGTAGAAGCAGTATTTCTGGGTAAAAGGATATGCAGTTTTTTATAGCCCTTCAGGCATAGTTCCAAATTGTTCTTCAGAATAGTTGGACCAATTCAAAATTCTACCAACAGTACATTAGTATCCCTGCTTTTCCACACCCCCTCCAGCATTTGTCATTTTCCTTTTCTGTCATGGTTATGAGGTGATATCTCAGAGTTGTTTTAATTTGAATTTCTTTCATCAATAGTCATTTGGAGCATTTTTCTTATGAGTATTGATAGCTTTGATTTCTTGTTCTTAAATCTGCCTGTTCATATCTTATGACCATTCATCAATTGGGGAATGGCTCTTATTTTTATAAATTTAGCTCAGTCTCCTACATATTTAAAAAATGAGGCCTTTATCAGAGAAACTTTTCAATTCCTTCCTCCCTCCCTGATACCTGCTTTCCTCCTAATTTTGTCTGCATTGGGTTTTTTGTGCAAAAAAAACTTTCTAAATTTGTTGTAATCAAAATCATACATTTTATTTCCTGTGACTCTTTCTTACCTCATTTTTGGTCCCTTATCCCTAGATCTGACAGGCAATTTTTTATATGCCCTCCTAATTTGCTTAGGATATCATCCTTTATGTCTAAATCATGTACCCATTTTGAGCTTATCTTGTTATATGGTGCAAGATGTTGCTCTATGCCTAGTTTCTACCAGACTGCTTTCCAGTTTTCCCAGGTTTTGTCAAGTAATGAGTTCTTGCCTCAATAGTTGGGATCTTTGGGCTTATAAAACACTAGGTTATTCTGATCATTTACTTCTGCATTTGGTAACCTTAATCTATTCCATTGATCAGCCACTCTATTTCTTATCCAATATCAGATTGTTTTGATTATTACCATTCTATTGTACAGTTTGCTATATGCTACTGCTAGGCTGCCTTCCTTTTTTGTTTTTAAATTGATTCCCATAATATTCTTGACCTTTTGTTCCTCCAGATGAACTTTATTATTAAATTTTCTAGCTGCATAAAAAAATTCTTTGGTAGTTTGATTGGTATGGAACTGAATAAATAAATTAGTATTGTCATCTTTATTATATTGGTTCAGTCTAATCTTGAGCAATTAATATTTCTCCAACTTTTTAGATCTGTATTTGTTTGAAGTGTGCTTTGTAATTGTGTTCTTATAGTTTCTGGGTGTGCCTTGGCAGTATTTTATACTGTTTGCAGTTATTTTAAATGGAATTTCTCTATCTCTTCCTGATGGATGTATATATGTAATATATAGAAATGCTCATTGTTTTATATCTAGCTCATTATTTTATATCTAGCAACTTCACTACTCCCTTGTTTGGACTAGATTTTAGTTGATTTTCTAAGGTTCTCTAGGTATACCATCATATCATCTGCAAAAAGTGATAATTTTGTTTCTTTGTTGCCTATGCTTATTCTTTCTATTTCTTTTTCTTCTCTTGTTATAACTTCTAGTCCAATGTTAAATAATAATGTTGATAATGGACATTCTTGCTTTACTCCTGATCTTATTGGAAAGGTTTATAATTTATCTCCATTATAGATAATGCTTGCTCTTTCTTTTAGATAGTCACCACTTATCATTTTAAGAAAAGCTCCCCTTAGGGGGCAGCTAGGTGGTGCAGTGGATAGAGCACTGGCCCTGGATTCAGGAGGACCTGAGTTCAAATCCGGCCTCAGACACATAACACTTTCTAGCTGTGTGACCCTGGGCAAGCCACTTAACCCCTATTGCCCAACAAAAAAAAAAAGAAAAGAAAGAAAAGTTCCATTTATTCTATTTTTTAATAGAAAGGAGTGCTGTATTTTGTCAAGAGGTTTTTCTACATCTATTGAGATAATCATATGATTTTTGTTGACTTTGTTATTGATATGGTCAATTATGCTGACAATTTTCCTAATATTAAACCAGTCCTGCATTCCTGGTATAAATTCCCCCTGGACAGTATTTTATTTAACATTTTTGCATCAATATTCATTAGGAAAATTGCTCTACAGTTTTCTTTCTCTGTTTTGGCTCTCCTTGGTTTAAGTATCAGAAAGATATTTGTGTAACAGGAGGAATTTGATAGGCCTCCTTTGCTTATTTTTTCAAATCATTTATATAGTATTGGAATTAATTGTTCTTTAAATGTTTGGTAGAATTCACTTCTAAATCCATCTGGTCCTTGGGTTTTTTTCCTTAGGAAGGTTATTTATAGCTCATTCAATTTCCTTTTCTAAGATAAATTTATTTAAATATCCTATTTCTTCTGTTCACCTGACAATTTATATTTTTATAAATATTCATCCATTTAATTTAGATCATCAGTTTTATTGGCATACAATTGGGAAAAATAGCTTCTAATAATTGCTTTAATTTTAACTATTCTTTTTATTTTTTCTGTTTCTTACATGACCATAGTATCCCATGTAGCCCTCCCCAAGAGCCATCCAATATGACAAATAGTGATGTGTTTAGAAAGGAACAAAATCAGCATTACTGCTCAATATGTTAAGAAAATCCCAAAACATGAGCAATGTGTAACACCTGTAGACCCTCTCACCTCTACTAATACCTAAATAAGGGGTGTTTTCTCATATCTCCTTCATTTGAGTCCTAATTGATCTTTATAACTTTGTTATATTTACTTTTTTTATGTGTTGTTGTTTCTGCTTATGTT